CAGGTCTATGATGAAGAAAGGTGGGTGGAATCGGATTGATGAGCAACTACGGAGTATGACACCGAAGGGTAGCAACACCGGAGGGCGACTGTAGAGGGGGAGTGTTCGAATGAGGAGAGAGAAGGAAAGAGCGAGATGAGGAGAGGAGGAAGATTAGAAGGCATGGAGGAGGAGGGGAAGGAGTTGAGGCAAAATAGGGCATGAAGAGACTGTCTGTCGATCCGGTAAACAGTTAGTCGATCGCGGCATGCGGTCTGTTTTACTCTGCCGATGTCGGGGGTTTAGGAGGAAGGCGGGGAAAGGCGGGGAGGAGAGGCGGGGGGAGGCGCAAAGTCGGCGTCTGGGTGTGGTGATTCGAATGTTGTGCACGCACGTTTATTACATTCATTCCTCTCCCCCCTCTCCTCCCCGCCTTCCCCCGCCTTCCTTCCCCCTTTCTCCCCCCCCCTCCCCCTTCTTCCCCACCTTTCCCCCCCTCTCCCCAACCATTACCAGTCGACCTCTTTGACGCTTTCCGTACCCCGATTTTGTCGTTGTCATCAGCATCATCAGCATCATCGTTATCATCCATTCTTTCTGGCACCCTCTTCTTCATCACACTGCGCTCTGTCGTTGAATTGCTTTAAACCACCAGTATACCCGCGCCTTGAGGCGCTGCATTGCGCGCCAAGCTTTTCCGAACCGCCGCCATCGGCGCCTTTTTTTCTCTTTTGACTGGCGCCGCCAGCCATTGTGGTGTGGTGCGCCCGAGCCCGCGGAATTTCTGCAAGTCTGCCGCCGATGGCGGTTCGGGAGAGCTTGGGGCGCAGTGCAGCGTCTCAAGGCCCGGGTGTACTGGTGGTTTAAGGCGTTCCTCGGGTCTTTTCCCGGCTTAAATCGGTCTCTTCTGCCTGCCTGTCTGTCTGTCTGTCTGTCTCTTCCTCGTTCTGCTCCTCTCTATCGACTCTCTCTCACCCTTCTTCGTTCCGCTCCTTTGGAGCGAGTCTCTTTCTCTCCCCTCCTTCCTCCTCCCGTTCCTCTAGAGAGAGACTCTATCTCTCTCTCTCCCTTCCTCGTCCCGCTCCTCTAGAGCGGCTCTCTCTTTCTCTGTCCCTGTTTTGCTCTCTCTGTCTTTCTGCCTGTTTCTCTCTCTCTCCCCCCCCGATCTTCCGCTCTCTCCCTGGTTCTCTCTCGCTCTCATTTCGCCATCCCTTATACGAATCTGTGCAAAGAATTGTCTGTGAACGCCTTTTCTTCTCCCTTCCGACAGAGATCCTCTCCCGCGCCCTTTCACTTTCTGTAAGGACGTCCGTCTGTCTGCGGATGGCCGCCCCCCCTTCTCTGGCGCCTGTGCGCGTGCATGAGTACACGACTGCGGTACTTCTCATCACGTTTTTTGTCGTTTTCTTTTGCAGTTTTTGAAATGAACTCTTGCTTAAAAAAAAGAAAAGAAAAAGAACTCTTGCTTTTATCTGTTTTTTTTAATGTTATTCTTGTAGAACTGCATTCTCGTCTTCCTTCCAACCAACCCGAATACGTCCATTTGTGTGCTTTTTCATACACGTAGTAAATTATTTATAATAGGGTAATGAATAAATACTGAAAAGAAAATAAGGAAAGAATATGAATACAATGATACGTGAGATGCTGAATAATAAAATGAATTGATGTAATAATATCAAAATAATAAAATAATTTAGCGGTAATATGGTATGGTGTTCTACATTACCAAAGTGGCCCCGCGACCACTTGCCCAGTTGGGCCAAAAATAAAAACAAACTTATTTTTTGCACAACGCAGTTGCTTTTCGGATTTTTTTTTGTTTTTTTTCTTACAGGGACCTTCTCTGGTCCTTGCCCGACCGTGCCGTCCGGACTTGCCCAGTTGGTAACGTAGATGGTATTAATATTCTTGTCATTCTCTCTGTTCCCACCCTCATTTTCATTATCATAATAATGATGAATCACAAATTCATAAATTAATAAAATAAATTATTATCAAATAAAATAAATATTATTTTATTTGCTTCTTCCTCAATGACGCTGAAGGCTCACTCGATTGTGTGTGTACGCTTAGGTCGTGCCTTGTTTCCCCCTCTCCCCCTTTCATCGCGTTGAAGTCCCCCCCCCCCCCCCCTCTCTTCCCCCCCCCCCCSCCCCCCYTCSCCCCCCCCCCCCTTGCCGTAGGCGGTGCGCGCTTATTTTCGCATGCTCGTTTTACTCCCCTTCTTATCCTCTCTGCCTATCTGCCAATGTTTTTAACTAGAAAAAGATGGTAAAAAATCTCTTGCGTGCTTTCTGCAAGGGATCTGGATAGGGACATTCTTTTGCACACTCTCTTTCTCTCTCTCCATGTGATTTTTTTTTTTAATTATATTGTTATAAAATCAAGTTCTGTTTTCATTACCTACGTCTTTTCTGTGTTCCTCTTCTGTGTTATCGTTCGTGCTTCCATTTTTTTTTCCCTCTTTCTGATGGTTCCTTTGCGTATTTTCGCTTTCGGTTCAGTTTTTTTTCTCTCGTTTGCCCTCCTTGTAACTTACCCTTGGCTTTCCTTCCTCTTGGTAGTTCCCTCTCCCTCTCTCCCTCTCTCCCTCTCTCCCTCTCTCCCTCTCCCTCTCTCTCTCTCTGTGGAAAGATGGCGCGTCTGCTCACGAGAGACGGCTACTTTCCGGCGAGAAGGGAGAATCCGTTGCCGTGGAACGTTTGATGTTCTCTGTGTATGTCTCTCTCCCTCTCTTCCTCTCTCCCTCTCTTCCTTTCTCCCTCTCTTCCTCTCTTTCTCTCTCTCTCTCTCTAACACCTTATCCCCCCTAACCCTTGCCTGAGATTTTTTTTTTTCTTTTTTTTCTTGCCTGAGAATTATGTATTTATTACTTTTACAATTTTGAGTTTTCTGAGAACAAACGATTTTTGTGGGTGCTTCGAAGTAGAGATTCAACCATGCTGTTTGTATAGATTCGATGAATCTGCGCTCCACATATGTGCGGCTGCTTATGGACAAACAGGTCGTTGGATTGCCTTTTGGTGGTGGTGGTGGGGGGGGAGGAGGAGAGAGGGGGGGGCTTTTACGTAGTCACGGAAATAGTTTGAAAATGCATTCCAGGCATCCCTCGAATACAACACACTCCCACCAGACCCTAAAACTAGCTTGTATACATTCAACAATTTTTAGCGTTTTGCTTAGACTGCATTTTGAAACTCAAACCGTGTCGGCACCCTAGTTTTCCATTGCCTCCCCCCCCCCCCCCTCCGAAATCACGTTTTGTCCAAATAGATGTTATAACCCACGTGGTAGTCTGAACTGAAGATATTTAGATATTTTCTGTTTCGGCGTTTGAGAACTCGATGCATGTGTTCTGTAAAGAGCATAATATGTTTGTTTCAAAGCTTTGGAAGTCATCATCATCATCATAATCACCATCATCAGCATCATCATCATTACCATCATCATCATAATCACCATCATTATCATGATCACCATCATCATCATCAATCACCATCATCATCATCATCATCATCTATGGATCATAATCGGTGAATCATCATCATCATCATCATCGTCGTCGTCGTCGTCATCAGCGGAGCAAAGACTCGCCTGATCTGACTATCTAATTGAGAAGCTACCCGTCTTCCCTCGAATAGAACGTACGGTGGTTATTGCTGTATGTAGATTGAGAGTTGCCCCAAATAGGCATAGTGACCGTAGGCTTTATTCGAGGGGAGACGGGTAATAGGAGGTCAATTTGTCGATTAACACAAGCCCGATTGTTGTAATGCGAGCTTTGATATGCTCACGCGTTTGAAGGTCTCGTTAATTTATTTTTCTTTTTCTTCAATTTGTGAATGGTTGTCAGTAGACGAGGTAATATAGAGCGAGCGCACGAGGAAAAAAAGGCAGGAGACGCAATCTTCGGGAAACAGAGGCACAGAGAGAGAGAGAGAGAGAGAGAGAGAGAGAGAGAGAGAGAGAGAGAGAGAGAGAGAGAGAGAGAGAAAGAGAGAGAAAGCTCATCTGGCAGTTCTATCGTTAGCTCCTCCTCCTGTGCGTTGTAAGGTCACGGTTCTATTTGCGACTCCGGTGAACTCCGATGTTTGCTGCTTCTTCCTTCTTGGGATGTATGCTTCTTCACTGCTTCAATTTATATATGCATCGGTCTGTGTCTGCATGCATGCATGCCACATTGTGTTTGTCTTCTTTTTCTTTTGTGTTTGTTTT